AAAAATAAAATGGTAACGAAATGCGATCTAAATTTAGTTGATGTTCTTCCAATAATCAAGGGGAGGGGAAAGTATTTCAACGGGGGAATAAATAATAGTTTTTTATTTCAAAATATGACACAATTAAAGTATATTTTTACAAAATACCTAATTTCAAACTAATGGTTAGACAGTTTTTAAGACATGCTTAAAAATGAAATCATATACTAAAACACAATAAATATCAAATTATAGAGTATTGTATTAAGAGGGGTGGTCTCATTACCCAACCTACTAAATTTCACGATCGCGCAAACATTTCCATGAAATTTAAGTAAAAACTTGTCAAGATCGAGTTCTTCTAGAGAATTTAATGTAATAATACACCTGTAATTAGTTGAGACAACCACTTAACAAAAGTTTGTTAGTTACCTGGCCGATGCCAGAGGAAGCTCCAGTGATGAGAACGACCTTCCCAGCGACATCTTCGCTAAAGAGAGTCCTAAGGAAGGAGAGAAAATACTTGAAAGTCACGTAGGACGGTAACAAAAGGGCGAGGGAGACGAAGGTGAAGGAGGGAGCGACTAAATTGAAGAAGCTTTGAATAAACTCCATCTCCAATTTCACATCAAACTCTCACCGCCACAACACACATCTTCTACCCAACTAAGCAGAGTCGTTCGCGTTCGTGGCATTTCAAAACTGCACGCGCCACACACGTGCTCTCCTCTCTTTTATCACCCACGTTGCAACTCCCAACATATAGTTTACTTCCCAACTTTTTTCTTTTCATCAAATTTTACTCTTCTTGTTAAAATTGATACAATGCTCGGAGAAAAATTCTGATTCCTCTTCTAAACTTTTAACAACTTTACTATTATTAAAACTAGAAAAACTAGGATTTAACTCATGACCATGAAATTAAAAATTGCCATCCACCCACTGCCCTAGCCTATAAATTATGTATTTGAGATGCTGTTTATTATATAAAAGAACCTAATCATTTTTTTTTAAGTAACGTTAGAGATGATCATCTCCTAAAGAGACCTTGTTTATTATCTATTTTCCATGTATTATTTTTTGAAATAGTTTGGTTAATGATATATTTTTGGAATAAGTTTAAAAAATTCATTATTAAAAGAATCGTAAATCAACATTTTCATAATATTAAAAAAAAAGACAAAATATTAAAAATATTATCATTTCATTAATATAGATCTAATAAATCATTTTTAATAAATATCTTTTTTCGAGTTTTTTTATTTTTATTATAATTTTCTAGAAACATCCATCAACATCGACATTAACATTTTATCGATATTTCAATTAAAATTCAAACCTCGATATTCTATCCAAACATTTAAAACCTTGCTTATATAATTTGTTATTTGACTGTTTGCTGTAGTACACTAATATGCATGTGTATATATATATATATATATTTCTTTTTGAACCATGCTTTGGTACAAGTTGACATGTGGCATTTCCGACTAAAGAAAAGAGGAGAAATTAAAAGAAGCTAATAATTTACAAAGGCTGCTCAAAAGTCAAAACCTTTGTTTCAGACAGATTCTTCTTCTTCTATATTTTTTGTTCATCGTCGTCCATTCGCAACCATATGAAAGTATCGTAGCTTCGATCTTCCTCTGCATATTGACTCTGGCAATAAAATCATCAGCCCTTCTACTCAATTCCTCACGATCACCCAAATTACTCATTTCCCACTCATCAATCCTTTCACCCTCATCACAATCATCTTCCATTTCTCCGATCGAACACTCCCCAAAACTCCCATCGAATAAACAGTCATCATCATCATCGACTGCAGAATCGCAAGTTTTTGGGGAAAACATTTTGGATTCTCCGACGAGGACGGCGACGATTAGGTTTCCGAGGAGGAAAACGGAGGCCGTGGGGGTGTTAGAAGAAGACTGCAGAAATGGAAGAATCCAGAAGGAGATGAAAAAGAAGATCCCAGAAACCAGAGCTGTAAGAAAACTGAGGAGGAAGCTATGAATGATATTGTTGTTGATAATATTAACACCCATTTTGTATGGTTTTATCTTTGTTGAGAACTCAAAAATGGGAACCAAAGAAAATAAAACCATAATTGCACAACGAAGAACGTGGAACAAAGGCTTCCATATCTTGTGGGGGAAAATTGAGGGGAGTTTATATACTCGATTCTTGCGAATGTGGTGCTACTCTAACCTTTTATTTTACTATTTTAGAAATAGTATTCTTTTGTTTTAATATTTTTTTTTATTTTGCAAAATTATAAAGTAAGTTTATCGACTTTGTTTGGTTAAGAAAAGTTATCATAAGCAAAGTGATTTGAGATTATCACTAAAGATTACTAATAAAATAAATCTCATGTTCATGCTATGCCACTTTACCTAATTTCTTTTAAGATATTGGAATATAACCTTTTCTTCCCTTATAAAGCATAAGCAATGGAAATTGATGGGTAGGTATAAGGTAGTTATTTATTATTATTATTATTATTATTATTTTTGAACAATGTAAAGTAGTTATTAAAGTAACACTAAATAGCTTTATCATTAAAATATATACGTCCATAAATTGGTTAAGGCGGATAATATCGACTAAAATGTTATGTCCTCAAACTCTCATACTCACATGTTGTCGATAATAAAAAGAAAAAAAAATCAGTGTTATCATGATATATAGCTTGAAGTCTTAAAAGATAAAAATGGAGATATTATAATTAATAAAAGCTCAAACCCTACGAATTATTACAGTAATCAAAGTGTTGACCTATTTGTTATATTTTATGATAGATATTTAGTTAGAAGTAATCTTCAACTAAAGTTAGATCACTATATTTATGTCTACAATATGCTTTTTTCCCNTTTTGAATATTGGATGATGAATTGTCAATAACTTAAATTGAGGGCTATTTTTTAATAAATATTCTTAAAAAAATGTTTTTTATATGTATGAAAATTGGATTGTCATAACTTAAATTATGAAACTAATGATTGTTTTATTCGAACATAAAATGTGGAATATAAATAAAGTCATTTAACGGCCCTAAGTTTAATTTGTCAATGCCCAGTGCCCACGCCATAGACGATATGAAACGTAAAAAAGCAAATTTGTCAGAATGCATTTAAAATATTAAAAGAAGATTCCACTAAAAATAAATAAATAAAGTTAACCATGGCTTACTAATATCCTCATCTTTCCACCGTTTGATTGAAGGGTTTCCTCCCAAGTTAGAGGTCAAGCTTCTTGCAAATATATTTTTAAAATCAAATATATATAACCTCATAAAGTCGAATGTTGAGTTGCATATCAATTGGTCCACCATTTTATTATCTTAAGAAATTAAATAGGATAACTTTATATTTATTTACACACGTATGATCATAATATAGCAAGTCGATTTCAAGGTATTCATGTATTTTGAAGTTTGAGAGGTGAAATTTTAGTTTTTCTTTTCTTTTTTTTTCCAATAATAAAGAGGTGATTTTTTTTTAAGTACAAGAAGGAGGATTCAAACCCATAAACTTTTGATTAGAAAGAAATGTCAATCACTACTAACTTAAGTTCTGGGTGAAATTTTTAATCATACGTGCATTAAAATATAAATTTAAGGTGTATATTGATGGCCCTAGGTTGATTTCGATTTCATAAAATAAAAAATAATTTCTAAAACAACTCATAAATAACACAATTCCTACTCAAGAGATCAGTGGTGGTGGGGTGTGGTTTAAATTTGCACCTCCATTTCTTTTCTCTCTTTCTTTATTATTTATTTACATTATTGAGCCCATTTTGGAATTGGATTTAATAAAAGAAGAAAAAAAAATTGCTTTTGGTAAAGGTAAGATTTACACGTTGTCTCAAACAAATATATATTATATATGATCCTCCACGCACGCACGCAATAATTTATTGTTCATTAGTGGCCTTATTTAATTACAGATCATTCCAAAAGAACTAACTTTCATGTCATGATATACACTTATTATAAAATTTTCAATGTGCCTCAAAATGATCCTAAGGTGTATTTAAATGCAACAATTGAAAGGAATAAACTTGACCGATGAACACAATTCAATTCAGAAATCTTGAAAAATAACAGGGTATTTGAAAGATTGGGCTCTAGGAACCCATACTAAACAACTTCGTGAAATCGTGATTTTTTACCTTATTCGGAGCTTTACTACCTGTGCCATGACTCGATCTTTTGATCAATACCTTAATCAGTTTAATATTTATGCTACCAAACAAAATCATCTTTAACTATATAATTCTTAAATAATATAGGTACTATAACACGTTAACTTATTAGAGTTAATAAAATGATGTATTTTGATTTTTTAATTCAACAATTATAAGATAGAAGATCGAACCATTAATTTTAAAGATGGTAATAATTATTTTTATCAACTTGAACTATGATCGTATTAACGACAAATTGATGTATTAAAAATTATGTAGAATAACTAAATAGAAATAGTAAACAAATTTAGAATTGTATTAAAAGAAATGGAAGCTTATGGTCACTAGTTGAAAAATTATTCACCAAACTTGTAAGTTAACATCTTTTCGAATAAAAATTATGCATCGTGTAAATTGCTTTTGATGAAGAAATAATGATATTAATTAAGTAGGAAACAACGTTAAATCATGTAACGTGTTCGGTGTTGGGTTTGTAAGGTGAATGCAATATCACCGTCCCCTTTTAGAATGAAAATCATATACCATTCATATTAGGGTTTATAATATATTTTGGTTAAACGCATTCATTTCTATTTCATTTCAATAAAGCTTCCATTATAAGAGCCACAACCCAATGGAATTCCAGAGCCTAAACATAACTAAAATTAGTACAAACAATTCAATTTTTCTTCTCTCTTTTTTACTCCTCCTTGGATTTAAATTTATTTACTTACAGTAGCCAATTATTTTGTTCCTTTTTGTTTCGTACTTTAATTGGACCAACTCACTGATCCAACTCTACAACCACAGAAGCCAGAGTTCAGCGGGCCCAAAATAAATGGGCTTTCCTATTGCACCAAAAGCCTCGAAACCACACCACTCATGCCCCGTTAACTTATAATAATTAGAATTCAAATAAATCAAAATCTAAATATTATTTATTTGATTTTGTTTACCAAATTATCTGTAACCAAAAAATCCATTCATATTGTTTATTAAAACCGCCTGAATAAAAAAATATATTATCTTGATATTTTAATAAAACAATAATTTGTTTTGATTTATTTTGCTGGGAGTAAATATTTTTTTATTATTGCAATTTATTTATATTAACAAATAATAAGTAATTAAAATAAAATTCCATCAAAGAAAAAATGTATAAATTATTATAAAATCTTATTTTTCAGCTATTTAATAATAATGAATTTTTAAAAATAATTTTGTTTATGTTAATTAATAATAACAAAGTAGAAAAAAATTATTGATAACTTAATTAGAAAGTTGTAATGTTTTATAATAAAATGACTAAAAAAAGTTGGTATAATTTGTTATTACAAGAAAAATTATTACTAATATAAACAACTGAACAAATAAAATTGTAAAATAATTCATGAATAAAAAGGGTAAATTTCCCGAATAATATCGATTATGTCGTAGAAAATGAATTACACATTTTAAAAGAAAATGATTCCCAAGATTAAGGTGATCCCAACAATTAGTTTCATTCCTAGTAAACACCAAGAAAAATTTCTATTACTCAATTCTCATTTCTTTAAAATAAACGGAGCTCTAAATCAAAATTAATCCCGCAATCATATAATACTTTTAACACTAATTAATAGCTTCATAATCTCAATGAATGCTCTACTCGTTTCTGACCCACACAATTAAGTACTAATACAAAAACAAGAAGTAATGAGATCAAAGACAAAACAGAAGTACACTCAATAATTTACCATAAAGCACAATGTTTTCCATTTTTTAAAAGTTTCAATGGCTCTTTGGTTGTACACAGTACAAAAAAAATGAACTATAAGAGAACAATAAAAATAATAATAATAATAATAATAATTTAACAATAATTACCTAAATAAGTTTTGGTTGAACTTTAATTAGTTATTATAAAAAAAGCTGAAGGTGCTCAATTAAATTATTCTGTCCCCACAAACTAACATTTATGGAGCATCCGTAGCACTCTACCAAATACACCAGGCTTGGTCAAAAGTGGATGAATGAAAGCCATTGAAAATATTATTATGTGCTGTTGAAACTTAAAGCTAGGGCTAGAGAGAGAAGATCGTAAATTAATTAAGTTTAATGTGCTAGATTAAGCTATAATTAATCATTCTTAGATTTTGCATTGTTTTTTGTTTTGGTTAGATGAAGATGCCAAATGCGATGCCCGTCTGTCATTCTTGTTCAAAACCATACCTTAAGAAGACAGTGGTCCATGAATGATTGACTACTCAACTTTATAATAACTTTATAATATATTGTTGCTTCTGCCTCTCCCACATTATTCTTTGCCTTTTCAATTATATGATATGATGATTATTCTCACCCATGTTATGCTATTATATAACCAATGCTAAAGGGCATGAATTCTCTATATCGTTTTTTTCCCTTAAAAAATAGATGTTGATTTCTCCTTTTTGTTCTTCCCAATAGCTTTTGTAGATCATAATACCACGTGAGAGTTTGACGCAACATTTCTTTTTATTTCTTATTTTTCCTTTTAGAGTATTCAAAAAGTAACCACAACTCTTTTTGGTGGAATTATTATAACTTTTATTATGCTTTAATTAAGACTCAAATCCTTGGTTAGATTTAATTTAATGTTATTTTGTTTTTTTTTAAGACAACAACACGTGTGAAATAAAAAATGAATTAAATTTAATCAACTCATTATAGTGGTTGTATATTCATCTTCTACATAGTAACATGATATTAGAGTGAGAGGTTATGTGTTTGAATCTCTATATTGTTGTTTTTCCTCTCCATTTATAATGATTAAACTGTTATGCAGGATACCTAATCAAAGATCGTTGAAAAAACTCTGCCTTCTGAGTTATTTTAT